GGGGATACAGAAAGGAGAGGTTGATAGGTGAGGTTCTTATGAGAGCCACAGCTTGCGTTGACCCCTGCAGGAGTCTGAGCTTAGGGTGATGCAGATAGAGCAAGGAGGTTATGGGAGGGCCAAAGGCAAGGAGTGAAGAGCAAGGAGGAAACAGCGGAAGTACTCAACGCTGGCAGGGATAACAGAAAAGAGAGGGTGAAAGGGGAGGCTCTTGGGAGAGCCGAAACTTGTGTTGACCCCTACAGGAGTCTGAGCTTGAAGCAGATTGAGCAAGGTGGTAACAAGAGAGCTAAAGGCAAGGGGTAAAGAGCTAGGAGGGAACAGTGGAAGCATTCAACACTGGCAGGAGGAACAGAAAGGAGAGGGTGAAAGGTGAGGCTCTTGCGAGAGCCGAAACTCGTGTTGACCCTTGCGAGAGTCTGAGCTTGGGTGATGCAGATGGAGCAAGGAGGTTACTAGAGAGCCAAAGGCAAGTGGTAAAGAGCTAGGAGGGAACAGCGGAATTACTCAACGCTGGCAGGGGGAACAGAAAGGAGAGGGTGATAGGGTAGGCTCTTGTCAGAGCCAAAGCTCATGTTGTCCCCTGCGAAATCTGGGCTTAGGGTAATGCTGATGTAGCAAGGAGATTACATGAGAGTCAAAGGCAGGGAGTAAAGAACTAGGAGGAAACAGCAGAGAAACTCAATGCTGGCAGGGGGAACAGAAAGAGGGTCATGTTAAGCTCTGCGAGAGCTGAGGCTCATATTTACTCCAGCGGGAGTCTGAGCCGTGAGGGGGTTTGCTAGGGATGGACAGATAGATGGCTTTGGCTTGAGAATAAAGGGGTGGCAAAGATTGGGCTGAGAGGTTTGAAAGAAACAACTTGGGTTCTTTGAGATGAAAAGACTGAGGCGAATGTAGGATTTGAAAGGCTTCAGAGAACCAATGACCGAGGGTCTGGATCTGGTGCTGGGAAAGCCTTTTAATAATGCCAATTCTGAATGAATGGCTGGAGATTGGTTCAGGAGGAAATCCTGAGAGGTGGACAACTTTGAGGTGTTTCTGGAACCAGAGATGTGATACTGGACGATTAGCGTCATCAGTAAAAAGGGGGGCTAGGGGGTTTGTTTCTTAATCCTCGAGTGTAGGTATACTAGAGAGTTTGGACTGGGTGGGTGAGGGCAGGAATGTTGAAGATGTAAATGAAATGTTCTTGTCAATAGATCTATCTTACTTTGCAGGACGAGGAAACCCTTTCTTTCCTCATCACACAAAATTAGATCTGCTATGGTGGGTTGGAGTGAGGGTTGAGTTTCAATGTTTCATGCTGTGATGTGTGACTGAAGGGTCTGAAGGCTACTACTTTAATGGTAAGTGACATGGAGTTTGGTGGAGGTTATAATGGGGGTGGCTTAAGGTAACGTCATACGTGGAAAGGGATGGACAGGCGTTGAGTTAGGGTCCACTTCTGTAGCCAGTGACCAAAGTTTCTGGAAAGAAAATGAGAGAGAGTCAGTGATTTGGTTTAGCAACCTGGCACATATTATGTAGACATGATAAATTGACTAATGTCAAATAAGACATCTTAAAAGTAGCATTAAAGCTTAGAGAGTAGGAACGCATTTGTCTATGCATTATATTGTTTCTTCCTCAACACCATGAATGAGAATCCTAGAGGTGGACCATTCGTCTCCCCACAGCATGGCGGCAGCGACCATTGGGCACAGTTTGAAGAAAGCTGATGAACAATGGTTTCTAGAGTGGAAATAGATTGAGGGGGCCATGTGGTGGCAACCAGTGGCCTCCGAGTACCCTTGGAAACCAACTGATGGGGTAGCACTAGTAAATAGACAAATATCTAATGGGGGTGCGAACAATCTCTGCAGAAGGAACAGCCGTTCCATAGCTTAAGGAAGCAATCCATAAGCGGAGTTCATTGTGGGTGGGTTTTGAGAGAGAAATTGTTCCTTTTAAATCGTGACTTGTGGTAGGGAGCTGGAGTAGGCAAGTTTGAGGTAAATTTGCACTGTGAATTTTAGGTGGCCGAGGATAGATAACAGTATGTGTTTAACTCAAGTCTCTTTCTTATAATACAAGAGAAAGAGAAATTATTCAGCCAATTTTCTCTTTAGGATGAGAAGCTCGGAATTTGAGCAAATCGAAGTTGATGCCTAGAAATTCGATAAATGTATTGGGTCCAGCCTTCTGCGAGCAGAATACCTAGATTGGCGAAAACCTTTTGGTGATCTCTAGGTGTTTGGCTGGAGGCAATGTGGGGGGGTGATTAGAATATCATCTAAAGTTGGATAAGGTGGGGGATTCTGCGATTGTTAGAAAGAAGCCAGTGATGGAGAATTTGCGAGTTGCACTGCTTATGGGACAAATGCGTGAAACCTTGAGTGGTGGGGCAGAGAATGGTCAAACAAAGTGGTTGTCGATCTCTTTTTAAATAAGATGATCCACAATTTCTGGTTCAATCAGCAAAAGCTGACTGAATATTAGGATAGGAAGGGAGAGCTGAGGTGCCCGGGTGGAATCCATAGGTTAGACCTGAAATGAGAAAATCAGAAAAAATTAGTGGAGAGAACGCAGTTCTCTAGCGAGGTGAGGAATCGACAGACAGATAGTGTTTTGGTAGACGTTCATTCCCCCCCAGGATAGTGGAGGGCCAAGGATATTGAGCATGGCTTGGCTGGTGATCTTAAAAATACCTCTTTAAAGTGGAGTAGGTGAAGTGATAAGTTTAAAGTCCTGTGACATATTACGATCGGACTTCTATGATCGATGTGATGCTTATTGTCATTAGGTGGGTAATTTTATTTTAGAAGTTAAATAGCTATTGGAAGTGGCAGGGTTTGTTTACTTATATGTATGTTTATTTATTTATTTATGTTAGTTATTTGTTTAATTTATTTATTTATTTAATTTCTAAAATGATGTTGTCATTTAATTTGCACTTGAACATACTTATTAAACTGTGTCAATTAAATGTTTACTATGGGCTACTTTAATCTGATTGATTAAATAACATTACATTTGGAATCTTAACATGAATGAATTCAGAAGCATAATTGGCCCAATTCATTCACAAAGTCTTTGCAAACAAGTCTGTTCATAACTATCGTAAGAGAGGGCGGGACCATCTCATGTTCTGACAGCTCTTGGATGGTGACACTTCTCTTTTCAGCTATTGGCTCAATGAAGTGTCAATCAAAAGGTCGGCAGCCATTTTGTTAGACTATAATACAAGTGTTTTTGTCTGAAAGATACTACTGTACTGAAAGCACTCCAGCAACAAGTTTGGATGACAGCAGTGTATCCATGTATGTTTATCAACATGTAAACATGTTGTGGACTAAAGTTTTTTGGATTGGATTGCTTTGATCCTTGCAGTGAAATCAGCCAGGCTGTTAAAATGTTATGGACCTGTGAACAGACAGCAAGCTTGAAAGGTGGGTTTATTTGGTTTGTTATAATCTCTGCTTGTTTACAGATTATAGGAGGACGTTAAGTCCATAGTGTTTGTGTCTTTAAAATGGTTTAAGTTATTTTTTATTTATGAAAGTCTTGCTTTTCTAAAGACATAAGAAATGTTTAATCTTGTTGGAGAGTAGTTTCTCCTTAAAGAGAGAAGTTTCCCCTTAAAGCATACTACGTTACCACAGGTGGACCGCGAAGAGCGGTGAGAGTTTGGCTTCATTGCAGTGGCTGAAGTCTCAGGGAGAGCAGGGCTCTGGTTGCAGTTGTAGATATTGTTGGTTATTTCCATATTGATGGGCTAAAAAGTGCAATGCTGTAAAAGCTTTTAGAGCTAAAGCTTTTTAGAAGTAGGAAGCTTTCTTCCAGACGAAGATAGTTGTAGAAAGGAAATGAGGATATATATATAGTGATTTGGGATCCTTCGATTGGAGGATCATAATTAGTTAATGTGGACCAGCTGGGTAAATCATGAGCACATGCTCCTCTCGAAATTAGTTTAAAACTAAACTTCACACAGCAGTGAACACATGCGCACACATATACACACACACACACACACACACACACACACACACACACACACACACACACAGCAGTGAACACATGCACACACACATACACCCTCTCTCTCTCACACACACACACACACACACACACACACACACACACACACACACACACACACACACACACAGCTGTGGTTGTAAATGTGTGTGTTCTTGTGTTCAGATGTCTGTTTCCTCACTCTGGATCCAAACACAGCACACACTCAACTTATTCTGTCTGAGGGGAACAGAGAGGTGAAGCATGTGAGAGAGAAACAGCCGTATCCTGATCATCCAGACAGATTTGATGATCATCCTCAGGTGTTGTGCAGAGAGAGTGTGTGTGGACGCTGTTACTGGGAGATTGACTGGAGTGGAGATGGTGTTGTGTGTATATCAGTGTCATATAAGAGCATCAGGAGGAAGGGAGGAGGTGAAGAGTGTGTGTTTGGATATAATGCTCAGTCCTGGAGTTTGCTCTGCTATTCCTCCAGATTCTCATTCAGACACAATAACACACACACTGATCTCCCAGTGTATCTGCTCAGCAGGAGAATAGGAGTGTTTGTGGATCACAGTGCAGGAACTCTGATCTTCTACAACATCTATAGAGACACAATGAGCCTCATCCACTCAGTCCAGACCACATTCACTGAGCCACTCTGTGCTGGGTTCTGGCTTTATTATGGATCATCAGTGAAACTGAGCTGAAGACTGACGAGAGATTTACCCAGAATCCTCTGCAGGAGCAGTCAGCAGCTGTGTGTGTGTGTGTGTGTGTGTGTGTGTGTGTGTGTGTGTGTGTGAGAGAGAGAGAACGTGTGTGTGTGTGTGCTTGTGTGAGAGAGAGAGAGAGAGAGTGTGTGCGCGCGTTTGTGTGTGTCTGAGCGTGTGTGTGTGTGTGTTTGTGTGAGAGAGAGAGTGTGTGCGCGCGTTTGTGTGTGTCTGAGCGTGTGTGTGTGTGTGTTTGTGTGAGAGAGTGTGTGCGCGCGTTTGTGTGTGTCTGAGCGTGTGTGTGTGTGTGTGTGTGTGTGTGTGTGCGTTGGTGCGACCGGACTGTTGGGACTAAACACCTGAATACATACCGTCACTATGAGCACACACCGTAACTGTTGGAACAGCGCTACTGTCCCGATAAGTCGGGCGGCATACACGTGTTCTAACATGCGTGACTTACTACCTCCCGCGTTTTCTCGTTATGTCCTGATGTTTACGGTGAACCCGTTTTTCTGTGTGTATCAGTGTATGCTCATAGTGTATAATCTCCCACTATCGTCCCTTTCCTGCTACTGCTGCTCCATACACATTAGAGCGCGTCACAGTCGCGTTTCATTGGTCTAGCCGCAGAACTCCTCGCCCGCGATTGGCTGGATTTTTATCGACTTTCATTGGTCGATCAGCGGAATCCCCGTCAGCGATTGGCTGGATTTCATGTCAATCAATATCAACCCGCTTCACGTTTCCAATTGGCTGCCGAAGACACGAGAGGTAGACCTTTAATTCCGCCGGAGTAAAGCAACTACGAAAGAGAACTATTTGTGCATCTTAAAGGTATGAACTGCTTATTTACTGTATATTTTGTGCCATGTGTTAAGTTAACTTTAGACATTGTGTGCATGACGAGTTAGTCAGGGTCATATCACTTAATGTGCGACATCATTAGCAGATATAAAGTTAGTGTCCGTGACCCAGTTTGTTTATATTATATATTCGCACGTTCGGACTTTCCCCTTAATACTATAATTTTATAAATGTATTATTTGCAAACTTTAAATAGCGAATGATTATTAGCAGCAAATGACTATCAAAGTACAACATTGTTCACAGTCAAATAAACAGTGTTGTTGTTTTCAAGTCACCCATGCTAATACCGATAGAATATTCAAAGTAACATGGTAAACAATATAGAGACTTCTAAATGAATGACTGTGGAAATATAAAACCAACTTTACCTCTGTCTTGATTGAGGTAAAGATGGTTTTATATTCACACATTCGTTCAGTGACAGCTCCATACATTGTTTACCATGGTACTTTAAATATTTGGACTGAAATCACATGTACAGTAAGTATGACTTCAAAACAACATTAGCACTATTTAATCGACTGTGAACAATGATGTACTTTGATGGTTGTTGACTATTAATATTATTTTACTATTTAGAATTTCCAATTAATAATTTTCTGAGATTATATTATTAATGAGAAAGACTGCATGTGCGAATATAAAACCATCTTTACCTCTATTTAAACTTGAGCTTGTCCACTGTAGACTATTTATTATTATTGTTATTATTAGTAGTTGTAGTAGCAGTAGTAGTATTAATATTATTGACAACATAATAATTGTTATGGTATACTAACCAATAACAAGGTGGTCAGTATGTCATTAGGGACACTTTTAGGAAGGGAAGTAAACTGTGTCATATATTTAACAAAAGATTAAAAGGGCAAGGTTATCTTAACATCACAAAATATTCAATATTAGGTTAGTACTTTGTGTTTCAGTCAGGAATGTTTTGACTATGCAGTATTTTTTCCACAGCATCGATGCTTCACAAAAGGATGGATAACTGGTATGCCGTAATGATGGTCACAGAAATCCTAAATGAAGGCAGTAGTTCTGTTTCTGTTTACTACAAGGGATATCTTTCCAAATGAGGAAATTACCCACAACTATGGTGATTCTTCTTGGCCATGGCATTCAAGGGTGAGTGTGTGCTCTCTTTAAGACTGTTTTCTATTATCAGAGGACACGTTTGTTGTATTGTGTTGTGAAGAAATAACTTAATTGCTTGTGCATGTTTTTATATTTTTGTTCTATTCCTAAATGCGCACACAATAGTTGCGTATGTGACAGTAGATAATTACACTTTGGTTATTATTGTTTCTACTTATATTAGTAGTGGTAGCCACTTTGTACATCTTCTTCAAAAAGATTAGCAAAATTCAAAAACATGCACATCATGGAAAGAGAAAGTGAATACAGTCTGTATTGAAGAGAAAGTAAGTTAACACTTCTTAACATGATCTGAGTTTACATCCAAAACTGCAAATGTAACTTAAGTGGAAAATTAAAACAATGGATTAAAACATTTGCAAACAATCACAGTTTCCATCAAATGGGTCAAAAAGAATAAAATCATCTTTTTGCAAATATTTTTGCCTTAATCTTGTGTTTTTCTTACTCACTTTTACAGGAATTGCATGAAGCATCATTGGTGACTGAGATTGAATGCAGTGTGAAAACTTCCATGTCAGGGAAAGAGAAAGTAAGTGAATTTAAAGAGCGCCTGTTATGCATTATAAAAGGTCATATATTTTGGTTTTGCAGTCTTTATCAACAGGCTGATCTGCATGCAAGGTCAAAAACACTTTTATTATCCTAAAATATGCATTTATTTTTACCTAATTATCGCAGTGACTCCCATATGATTTATTCAGCGATTCATTTGTTTCCAAACCCCTCCTTTGCGTGAAGCTAATCTAGCAGTGATTGGTCTGATGACCCAGTCTGCTGTGATTTGGTCGACTGCGTTCAGCATGAGGCGGAGAGAAACACCCACCACGGTTATGAAGGAGCCACAGTGCAGAGTATATGTGTGGGCACTATGGAGGAGTGCATTAAAGTATTGCAGTTAAACACCAACATTAGTAACCATAACCCCAAGTAATAACAGTGACAAACATTCAGTATTAATCCACACAGTGGCAAGAGTTGAACTATTCTGAAAATTGACTGCAGCATATGTGTATAAACAGCTGATTGTGCCCATAGCAATGGCAAACAGCAGGGGATTGTGAGTTCAGAAACTCATTTAAATCGGTAAAGGAAGAAGCAGGCGTTGAGTTTTAAACATGGTTTGGACACAATAGGTAAACAGCCCATACAGATTTAACCTGAGAGATACAGTACAAGCACTGATCTATAGTAAATACGTGATTACAAGCTGTGCAGGGTGATTACAAGTTACAACACACAATTAAATACATATTTTGCAAACTACACAAAATGCGGCTACTATTTTAATCACATCTACAGGTAGTGATCTGGAGGAAGAAGAAATTGGTCCATATGAACTGTGAATGATTTATAATAATCACTCATTTATAATGTCGCTCGTGTAACCAAAAGGATTATAGCAAAAACTAAGCACTGTGCTCAGCCATAGTTCATTAAACTTGAACCTTTGGTTCATTAAGATCATCTTTAATATAAGATACTCTTTATTATAATATGACTTTCCTGAATTTTAAAGCCTGAATACAAGCACCACAACTAAAAGTCTGACACTAGGCTATAAACGAACTATACCATGATCGTCACCTCATCACCATCAACCTGTTCACTGTGAGATATTTCATGTTCAACAGCACCTGTAGTCTCATTTAGCAACTTCTTAGCAACCAACTTTACAAAGACACCTAACAGCTTTAAAAAAATCACAAATGTGGTGTAACTGGTGTGTTTTATATCTTAGAATAAAACATGAATGTATTTTAATAATAATAATAGCTTTTATTTTTAGGCGCCTTTCAAAGCACTTAAGGAAACCTTACAGCAGATCACAAGCACATCATAAATATACAAGCAGTAAAATTGATAATCAGCATAATATTAAACCAGAAAATCACTAAAGGCTATCATAAAAAACATTTTTATCTGAGATTTAAAATCAGAACTAGAGTCCACCTGGCGAATGTGCAAAGGCAGGGAGTTTCATAACTGGTGCTGTACAACTAAAAGTCCTGCCATCAAATGACGTCATCTTAAAGAGCCCATATTATACATGAAATAGGGTCATATCTTGGTTGTAAGGGTCTCCAACAACAGTCTAATATGCATGCAAGGTCAAAAAACACTTTCATGGTCTTATAATCTGCATTTATTTTTACCTAATTATCCCAGCGACTCCTGTATGAATCGTCCAGTGATTCATTTGTTCCCAAACCCCTCCTTAGCGCGGAGCTAATCTGCGCTGATTGGACCGATGACAGTCTGTCGCGATTGGTCGACTGCCTTCAGTCAGAGAGGGAAATGGCCAATAGCTAATCAGCAATTTAAAAAGTAATCACAGTTCATACACGCTCGATAGTGTAGGCGTGGATTTTAGCTGCCACACTATGGCGAGTGGATAGTGCCACGGATAACCGAACGAAGGAGACAGTCGTGTACTCGCCATACCACACACACACAAAAACACACACACACCTCCGGATGACAACGCTCCCGCTTCAGCCCGCACCCGCCAGGTTTTAGCCTGAGAACCCGCTCCGTTTTCTGCCCGCCGCGCCCGATCCCGCTAGAGCGGAGAACACAACCAAATATCACCCAGTATACAGTCCAGACAGCCAAGCTGTCTGTATAAAAACACACACACAGCACAAAGCTCGTTCGTTCGTTCGTTCGCTCTCTCTCGCTCTCTCTCTCTCCCCGCGCCAGATTTCTGTGGCGCGGGAATACATTTCCGAATAAATCGCGGGAGCAGAACTCTAGCACGGAGCTCCATAAACAAACAGCACGCGTCGCGTTTTTAACGTGACTTTGCACGCGATAAGATAATATATCCAGTTAACCTGATACAGTACACGCGGTTACAAGTAACAAATCACAACTAAATACATTTGCAAGCTAGAGTAAACGAGGCAACAACTTTAACCGCACGTACTTACACTTGAGAAATGGAAGAAACCCATCCTGACGTCCATCAGTTACTCTTTACTGATCCTTCCTTTAACAAACTCAGATGAAGTATTCTTTGTAGCATGTAGCTTCCAGAAGTTTCCAACTGCTTGGTTATAATGCTGATGTTTCATCTTTGGGTAGAGACTCAATATATCCATCTGCAGTGTGACTTCAATCGACCGGCATGTTTGTGTGCGTGTGTTTGTGGGTGTGCGTGTGTTTGTGGGTGTGTGTGTGTCTGGGTTTCTGCGTCAGAGGGCGGGGCCTCAGGTTTGAAATCTCCCGGGTTTGCGCGTGCACGTGAATAACTTGGTTTCGTTCGTACGTCATGGCGAAACACCTAATGAGTCGGTATCAAGGCGACTCGTTTGAAGCACTATGAGTCGACTCTTTTATAGATGAATCAACCGTTTTAAACACTGTATTCTTACAGATTTAAGCCTTAGCTGGATACTTCACTTCACTTAGAGCTGTGTTACACACTACATGGAGGGGAATTTTCAAAAACCCATAATATGGGCTCTTTAAAGTGTGGGACAGATAACAGTTCTGCAGAAGATGATCTCAGTGAGCGCAAAGGAGTGTACAAATGAAGATCATTTCTTAAGCTTGCATTAAACATAGACCTTATTTTAGGGACCTTATATTTACAAATATGCCATTCCAAAAAAAAAAAAATTACACTTAGAGATGCCTATTTCAGTACATTTTCTCAACCGACAACCGATGCTCATTGACCGAATATTAACCACTAACCGGTCAGATTAATATTAAATGATCATTTAATACTTTTTTTTTCTAAATGTTGTGTCTATTTTGTGTCTGACACATCAAAAAGGCCTATTGCATTTTAAAGTATTGATTTATTTTAATATGTGAACAACAGTATAGAACATGAACAACAGAACATTATAAAATCTTCACGCACAGTGTTTCCAACAGCATAGAAAAAAAGAATAAACTAAATAAAAAGAGTAAAATTAATAGGCATGCCCTAAATATTTTCTTTTCAGTTAAATTACAAATTTAGATTACAAAACAAAAACACTGACTAAATCCTTTTTAAGAACCAGCATGCTGTTTATTTCCAATCATGTTTCTTTTTGGTTTTTGTTTAATAAAAAAAAAATAGCAGGATACCTCAAATCATTTGCTCTACAGAAGATAAGCATTTAATTAATGCTCCTCTCTAATTCTTATATCACAACGTCTGTCAACATTTTTTTTTTATAGAAGTCTTTATTTTAAAGATTATATCTTGAGCATCTGATTTTACCTCAGTGCTTGTGTGATTTTAGTTGCACTGTCCTCAGTAGCACAGAAATATCAGTATATCAATACAGACTTTGCTGAAAGGCTGGTTATGTCTTACCAGCAATGAGATATAATAATGTTATTAGAGATTTTAAAGCCAATACAGATTTAACCTGAGAGATACAGTACAAGCACTGATCTATAATAGATACATGATTACTAGCCGCGCATGGATGATTACAAGTTACAACACACAATTAAATACTTATTTTGCAAACTACACAAAATGAGGCAACTATTTTAATCACATCTACAGGTAGTGATCTGGAGGAAGTAGAAATTGGTCCATATGAATTGTGAAACTTACTGATAATGTTAGATGTAGGAGGGCTGACCACTGTTTTTGACTGTTTTTCCTGGCTTGTTGTCTCAAAGGCATTGTTGTGACGACCCTCCCTGATTAAAATATACCCCTCTAATAATTTATAATAATCACTCATTTATAATGTCACTCGTGTAGCTAATAGGATTATAGCAAAAACTAAGCACTGTGCTCAGCCATAGTTCATTAAACTTGAACCTTTGCTTCACTGAGATCATCTTTAATATAAGATACTCTTTAATATAATATGACTTTCCTGAATTTTAAAGCCTGAATACAAGCACCACAACTAAAAGTCTGACACTAGGCTATAAACAAACTATACCATGATCGTCACCTCATCACCATCAACCTGTTCACTGTGAGATATTTCATGTTCAACAGCACCTGTAGTCTCATTTAGCAACTTCTTAGCAACCAGCTTTACAAAGACACCTAACAGCTTTAAAAAAATCACAAATGTGGTGTAACTGGTGTGTTTTATATCTTAGAATAAAACATGAATGTATTTTAAGTTTGAGTTAACCATACACTACATAATTTTAGGGATTTAACAAATATGCCATTCCAAAAAATTTACATTAGAAAGTTGGAAGCAGAAGTGCTAAAACACAAACTCGCTTCTGGGTTTTTGTCTACAGGGATATCACAGTTCCACCACTCTATAGGGGTTGGTTTGGTTATTTATTGTCTTTTTAGGCTCGTTTTATATCTGCATTCACTGCCTTTCTGACCCAATCTTGTGCCTTTCCTTTTCATGTTTACAGCAATTATGTGAAAAGTCATCAATGGCAATGATTGAATGTGGTTCGAAAAATTTCTACATCAGGGAAGGAGAAAGTAAGTGAATTAAATTTTCCTTTTTGATAAAGGCCAGGTTTCCATCTAAAGCTGCAAATGTAACTTGTGTGGAAAATTGAAATATTCCCAAAACATTTGTGAACAATAATCATTTGCATCAAGCTAGTTAAAGACAATAAAATCATCACTTCACAAATCTTCTTGCCTCAATCTTGTGTTTCTTTTTTTCTCTTTGACAGAAATTGCATGAAGAGTCATTGGTGACTGGGATCAAATGCTGTGCGAAAACTTCTACATCAGGGAAAGAGACAGTAAGTGAATTTAATTTCCTTCTTGATGCTGACCATGTTAGAAATGGAGGTAGGGATGTTTTAGTACCCCTTTTTCCCTTCCCGATACGGATTCTCATACCTGAGCTTAGGGAATCAGCCAAAAGTAAGTACTAAATCGATACCTGAGTGGGTATCTGTAGAAGCAGTTGTGTATAATACTAGCCCTGTTTATCCATTAATAAAATGGTACAAACACATACAGCAAACTAGGGTAAAGTTTTACAATATAACTGTATAAAAACAGTGCAAAAAGAGATATAAAAAATAAAAATGAATACTATAGAAAATAGCATCTTTGTATCTCAATATTCAGAAACTTAAAAAATATAAAAATAAAAAGACACTTGTTGATTTTAAAGAAAATTTAGAAATTTATTGAGAAGGAAATATAGCCTAAACTTATCAACAACAGATTATATCATTGTCATACTGTATAGAATGCCCGTAAACAGTGTAGCCCGTAGACTAGTTGACGACAAAGTTGTTTTTTTTTTTTTTTCATTTAGATTGTTTTATCTGTCAAATGAAGCTCTGTTCTTTACTTTTATTTAAAGTATAGGCCTAGGATTGCATTACTTTGCGTACATTTTTATAGTTTATAAAGCTATAAAATGAAAGTCTAAAGATAACTCAGTTTGGTGTGGAGTTATCATATGCATAAATCATTTAAGTCAATCAGCATTTGTTTGATTTGTAGATAAGGCTATGCAGGCTATTTTAGAAATGGATCTTTTATAAGGACTATTATTAACTGTAATTCTTCAAATGAAGAAAGGTTTAGCTATTTGTTGATTGTATTTATGATGTTGCCGTGTTGAGCACACTCAGAGCAAGTGAAAACCCCAACGCTTCGACTTCCACTTCTTCTTTCCACTGCTTCTTTCTCAACTTGTGCAAATACATGAAGGTGTTTATGATGCAGATCCAGGACAGAGGCAATCACCAATAGCGTTAGTTTGGCATCAACTTGTCTGTGTCAAACTGTGACAAGTCTTTTCACTATTTTCATTATGCTTCTTTTATCAAAATATGTCTGTAGGCACGTGTGGTTGCACATATTATAATGAGTTAACAAATAGCCCTATGTGTTGGAAAATAATAGTACATTTTAATTGTTTAACTAATACCATAAATTGGTTAAAAATGCATCCTTTCAGTTAACGGTTAAACGATTAATATGAATATCTCTAGTTTTCCTTCTGACCCCCATATTTGAACACATTTGTTGAATAGAGTGGTGGGATTATGATGTCACTTTGTAGACAAACCAGCAGTCAGCATCACGCTGGTTCCTTTGACAAAAAGCCAATAGGCAAATGTAACTTATGTGGAAAATTAAAATAATGCATTAAATGTTTCAGACAATCACTGTTTCACTCAAATGAGTCAAAGAGAATAAAATAATCTCTTAGCAAATCTTCTTGCCTCAATCTTGTGTTTCTCTTTCTCACTTTTACAGGAGTTGAATGAAGAGTCATTGGTGACTGGGATCAAATGCAGTGCGAAAACTTCCAAGTCAGGGAAAGAGACAGTAAGTGAATTTAATTTCCTTCTTGATGCTGACCATGTTAAAACCTCAAATCAGAAAAGATTGGCACAGTATGGAAAACACAAATAAAAAAGAAAGTACTGATTTCTAAATTTACTTTGATTTGTATTGAATTGCAGATAATCCAACAGACATTATTTAATGTGTTTAATAAACACATATGCCAATTTTGGTTCTTGCAACATATTTCAAAAAAAGTAGTGACAGGAGGTTAGGGCTGTCATCAGATAAAATGTTTAAATGATGTGAAGTGAAACAGGTTAAAGAGGACACAGGTACTGGACTGGCCTGTCTGCAGTCCCGATCTGTTTCTAATAGAGAATGTGTGGTGCATTTCCAAGCATAAAATGCAACAACAAAGACCCCGTACTGTTGCCCACTTTGACTTGTTTGCAGTAAGAATGGTACAAATTTACACATGAAACACTTCATCACTTGCTGTCTTCAGTCCCTAAACATATTTTTAAGTGTTGTAAAAAGGAATGGCAACATTACACTATATTTTATTAGCAATTTCCATACTGTTTCTGATTTGTGGTTGTAGAAGGACGGTTGACCATCATTTTAGGCTGTTTTTCCTGGGCAGTTTTTCTCAAAAATGTTATTGCGATGACTCTCTTTGAGTACAATATACCCCTCTTTGTTAATTTATAATAATGACTAGTGTTTTGGGGGATGGGCATGACATGGTCATGAATTGTGTGGACAGTTTGGCCTTGTGAGGACACCCATGTTTTACACAATTGATGAATAGAGTTAGGTCTGTAATGAGTTCACTGTATAGTGTATTGGGGGATGGGCATGACATGGTCATGAAATGTAAGGACAGTTTGGCCTTGTGAGGACCCCTATATTTTACACAATTGATGAATAGAGTTTGGTTGGTTATGAGTTCACTGTATAGTGTATTGGGGGATGGGCATGACATGGCCATGAAATGTAAGGACAGTTTGGCCCCCATGTTTTACACAATTAATGAATAGAGTTTGGAGTTTATGCTAACCGTTTGCTCTCTTGTACAAAAACTTAAATAACAAATCAAATGAAATTGAAGATGTTGTCCATGCATTTTTCATCCATTTGCTTTTCCCTAATGCCTGAAATTGGCCAGGTAATAGTAGTTCATTAGTTAAGTGTACTTACTTAGCAAGCTTTCTGACCCAATCTTGTGCCTTTCCTTTTCACATTTACAGGAATTATGTGAAGAGTCATCAATGGCGAGGATCAAATGCAGTGCAGAAACTTCCACATCAGGGAAAGAGACAGTAAGTGAATTTAATTTCCTTCTTGGTATGAGCAGAGTTTCTATCCAAAACTGCAAATATAACTTATTGCAAACAAAATAATTTCGTCTTTGACAATGACAATGTTAGATGTAGAAGGGTTAAGTGCCATTTTAGGCTGTTTGTCCTGGGCTGTTATCTCAAAAACGTTGTTGTGATAACTCTATTTGAGTAAAATAGACCCCTTTCTAATAGGGATATCAAATTCCACAAAATCCTGTGATCCATGATCATTTAAATTAGCGATAAATTATCAATTAATCATTAATCACCACTCCATAAACACAATAGATAAAGTTTGGAATGTTTTGAAGTATTAAAGAAATCACCCAAGCTTTTTCCATTTGGAGACTTGCAGTAATTAATACCTTAGTTCTTATAAACAGTCATTTATAACATACATAATTAATGAATTTGTTACTGAAGAATAAAAACAATACACACTATGCTCTTTGCATAAAGATCACTGCAAAATAAGCTTAGTGCTTATTTTATGTATAAACTATAAATATAAAAAATAAAGAAATTAAGTAATGGAACATTATATGTAAAAAATCTAAATGTATATACAGTAGTAGGCTAGGCTAAATAAAGGTGCCTTAAAGCTTTTGTGAAGAACAGACTATATATGATAGGTGACACAATCTCAATAAACACTTGGTGCTTGATCTCATATAGGCTACATTATTTTAGGACATTCGATACGACATTGATAGGATCTGTTGATGTCAAACTTATGTTTCCTTTTTAATATTAAGACATTTCCTCTGTAATGCTACTATTATCCCTCATCACCAGTAAAATAACCAGCCTTTGTATTTCATATATTTTAAATGTAGATTTTCCTGCCAGTTTGATGCAGGCAAATGAAATTTAGGCAAATCTTACTTGTTACTCTTTCACCTGAACTCGCCACGAGTAAGATGGAGAAAATGAAAGCACATCAGCATAGATGAAAATTCAGATGCTTAAGACATAATCTGTAAAATAATGACTTATTATAAACTTTGTTAGTTTTAAAGTTTGTAGCAAATATAGGACAGAGGTTTGGGATAAACCAATTACAGTAGAGCATTAATTAAATCCTTATTTTTCAGGGAGTGAAACAAATCAACCAATGCAACAGGCATGAACATAAATGTACACTTCATATATTTTCCTTGAAAAATAATGTACATTTTTGTTGGTCAGTTATCTAGAAAATAAAGAATGAATAACATTTGTGGTGAAGTGTTTCAAAAGAAGTACTGCTATTCAGACCCAAAACACATTTTTTTTGTTAAATAAATAAATACAATAATAATATAAATAAAATTCAAGTAAAACATTCTCGTTTCAGGGAAGCCTACATTAAACTGTGTTCACGGTTAATGACAAAATAATCCATTGCGCTGGCCATTATGACTTTAATTCATTTCATCAAGTAATTTAAAAGAGCAGGACAGACTTTACAAGCTATTCTGAGCACTAATTGTGTTCACAGATTACCTAGAAAGAACAAACTCGGTCTGAAGGAGAGAACTCATTGTGAGAATGGAGAGGCTCACCGCATGTCGGGCCGTGATGCACGATTTTTAAAATTAGAGTCTGCATGCACCAATTCGTGCCAGTCTGTCAGATGAAATTGCTTAAAACACCTTAACATTTTAAAGAAACTAGTTAAAGTTTGCATAACCAATGATTGATCTTATCCACCTGTGACCCACTCATAATTAAACATCACATAGCCTACTTTTTGATTACCTGACTCAGGAAGGCAGCACACACATATATAACCAATCAAAACAGGGTTATATACATCCACCCCACAGAACATAAACTGCACACACTCGATTATTTAATGTGTGAAGTCATGGACGAATGTCTCGCAGCTCAAATCATAACTTATCCTTTAATGTCCATGCTTAATCGGTCATCGTCAATAAGGTCTGTCGATTAAACAGGATACTGAAAATCAATCGATCAGTGAGTAACTGTTAGCATCCCTACTCTCTATTAATATATAATAATGACTAGTGTATTGGGGGATGGGCATGACATGGTCATGAATTGTGAGGACAGTTTGGCCTTGTGAGGACCCCCATGTTTTAACACAATTGATGAATAGAGTTTGGTCGGTTATGAGTTCACTGTATAGTGTATTGGGGGATGGGCATGACATGGTCATGAATTGTAAGGACAGTTTGGCCTTGTGAGGACCCCTATATTTTACACAATTGATAAATAGAGTTTAGTCGGTTATATGTTGGCTTATTTTACATCTGACAATAAGATTTTTGTCCAACATGTACAATAGAGATGCACAGATCAGCTGAAATGGCACCTAAATCCGCAGCTTCATACTAATTAGGGTTGTGACGATGAGGAAATTTCCCTACCGGTTAATCGACATGTGACAACACCGGTAATACTGGTATTTTTTTTCTGCTTTTTCCTCTTTTCTTTCAGTTTTGCGGGAATTGCCAATTCGGCGTCTATTGTTTGAATGGACGAAAAGGAAGCTACAAAAAAAAATTAAATCACTGTTATTAAACAACACAAAATTTTATTAACATAACGAATAAAACACAACAATGCTACAGGCTGAAAAAACTGGAAGTTGGAACCATACAAATAACAACCATAAACGCCTATATTAACAGCTTAGTCCTTAGTCCTAAAATACATTATTAAGGAATCTATAGGCTATTGAAGAATAAACCGAATTTGAAATATGATCCTTGCATAATGATCACAACTCAACAAGCTGGCACTCATTTTATATATAAACTATAAATAAAAAAAATAATAAAAAATGTTAAGAAATGAAACATTATGTAAAAAAATGTAAAGACTACAGGCTAAATAAAAGCGCCTTGTCAGAGCTAAACATCAGCGCACACGTGTCAGTTTACAGCTTCTGAAAAGATCAGGCAGCCTATACAGATCACACAATTTCAATAAACAACATGTAAATGTATAAATATTTCGATAAGTATTGTTATAGAATATTTATAACTTATGATCTTGCTTTTTGGTTATATCGGTACCAGCTTTGATCTCTCTTTAAAGCGGCAGTTACAGGCGCTGCATAAAGGCGTCTTACACTGTCAGTGGCGGAATACACACTGCACTGGCAAGACGTTTTATTTTTATTTTATTTGTTGCAGATTTGCGTGTTGTTCCTTTTTAAAAAATACATTTTATTTTTAAAATCTCTCAAGTTAATGTTGTCTATCGAGTAACATAATCTCCCTCGGATTGGAGTTCGGTACGCAGTAAGATGGACCAACACCACCCTGTAAGTTAACACACTGCATACTGTAGGTCCACAGCTCTGGTGTGGTATGAATTACATGTTTTAAATGACAGCGAGACATGCTACATTTAGTTTTTATTGTAAAATATAGATTATAACCCAGTATACAGTAAAATAATATTTTTTAAATGGTTTGCCTATTGACGGCGTATAGGCTAACCGTTAAACTTAAATAGGCTGAGCATATTTTTATTAAAATGAAAACACATTACAACAAACTAGCCACCCTTTGATTTTTTTTCGTTTACGTATATTTTTATCAAACGAAAAATGCAATGAATAGTTTATTTTGGTTTTCATTTTATTAGAAATAATAGAATTTAAAGGCTACACAACTCCTCCATGGCTCCAATTGCGTTTTGACAGATATCCTAGATAGACTTTCTGGCTCAAAGACATTTATGCCTGTTAATTTCAGTGCTGTATTTTGACAGATTTCGCAAAGGCTTCAGCTATTCTACCTGTCAGCTGGTACCAGCTTCAGTTTTGCGACCTGACTCGTTAGGCATCTGTGTCTAGATGACAGCGAGAGAGATGAGATCAGACCTCCGATTCAGTAACTGAGACGTGTGGCCGCACGTCTCAGTTACTTTATTGCAATTTTTAATATTGGCTCATCTAAATTAACTTTTCATTTATTAAAAGCCGAAATATTGCCAGACAGACGAAGCAACTTTCGGTTTTTGAAGAGAGCATTCTCAGTGATAAAAGACGCGCACACACACACAGGTTAGCCTACACTCTTGTCGGCCTATTCATTGTTGATTGTTGCTCACGGCTGTTGCCGCGATAGTTGCTTTGTTTCTCTGCAGTTGGCTTATTAATGGCGCGGCATTGCTAAATCACTCTTGTTTTAATAAAAAAAAAGATAATTTATTAAACATTGTGAGATGATGCGCGATGATGTTGCGTGATTTTTAAAATGAGATTATGCGTTGCGTATTTATGGCTATTGATCTTATCTACCCGCGACCTGCACATACATTAGTTGAACATCAAGTATAAGTGTGTTGAAAATGAGTGTATAAATTAGTTATGTTTCCTCCAACTGCTGCTACCTTTGTCAGGCACAGTTTGCAGATTGCCTCATTAACGTCTTCAGGTTCTCTTTTTGCATTTGGTTTGAACCCAAAATATAGCCAAACAGGCACTTTTGCATTGCGTTTTGACACTTATCCGTCCGCCATTCTATGACGTATTGTAGCTATGTTCAGATGATAATTATAGAGCATGCTCTCGTCTTAAGTAAATTATTTAGAATTATGTTTCCCATTTAATTCAAATAAATATTTAAATAAAAAAAAAAAAAACGAATACTTAAAAAAAAAACAAATGTGGGGACGGTGTCACGGTGAAAATGTCACCGGTGTTTCGTCTTAAAACCGGTATCACCGTCAACACTGTCTATCGTGGCAAGCCTAATACTAATCATCCACCCGCCACCAGTTCGCACATATAGTTTTATCTGATATATGTATCCGCACCCGATCGTCACTTTAATAATTTTATTCTTTGTTTTAGACATGATGATAGGTCACCTTGGATATTAACAGCAGATTCATTGAGCTATAATCTGCACATCTCTGATAGTAAAATAATACGTTAATCGTAAACGTTTTTAAATGAACATTTATTTATAAAAACAAAAGTTTGTCTTAAGACAACATTTTCTTTATTTTCAAATAAAACAAAGTAAAAATAAGACCTTTAGCTTTTACAGATACAGGAACAAGATAAAAAAGGGTGCCACTTCAGTCTAAACAGCAGCTAGGTTATGTTTACTTGGCCTTTTTCTTTGCACTGTGCAAAAACAGAATAGCATCTACTGTGCCTGGATTCGGGAGATTCCGCCTCGCCTCCTAAAAGCGGCTGCAGCACTGAATGAGCGTTCGTTCGCACCACGTGTTGTAAGAATGAACAAGATTCACCTCGCAAGGTGCTGCAGTCGTGGAAAAAGCGATCTTGTTTGTCCCAGAGCGAGAGCATATTTTCCTCTGATAACTCTTACTGAAACTTTGAACAGCAGGCTACTCTTGCACTTCATCCATTATTTTGGGCGTCTCACATGATCATTCTGCAAAGCCCACTCTGCTTTTTTGCTGGTCCACTGCCATGTCCTGCTACATCCACCCGCAACCGACCCGCAATTAATCATAATGTATGTTTTTATTACCCGACACGTGGATTATCTGCATCGCCCGCTGATATAACCGCAATCTGTGCATCACTAATGTACAAATTGTTTTGGTATTGATTTGACATTTTTGCGTCAATAAGGTTTACCTGATGTGCACACTTTTTAGCCTGGACATGCTTTCAATTTAATAATAACTGCAGCAACTTTCAAGCTGTCAAAAGGAAGTATTCAGTTAGTTTTTAATTTAACAGGCATATCATTTTATGATTTTTTTTTTGCTTTACAAATTGATGCATGCATATAAAAGTTGTGGTATGTTTAGCATGTGAATTGGATTTTAATAAAAACTTTCCCTCTGTACAGTGTCGCCATGAAGTACACAGTGCTGTTGTTTCCAGTTTGCATTCTTGCGATGGATGTAGTGGTCCTATGTTAAGTAGAAAATGAAGACTTCAACTTGCAAATGTAAGTATTTATGTCACCAATAATTAGCGTATAAATTTACGTGTCATATTTTTTTAGTCTGTGTACTTCAGTACAATATGGATTTCTCATGTAATTTCTAGATATTTTTTTCTAGTTTTTTTTTCTTCCATCAATTCACTATTTGAAAGCCATATCCATTTTTTTCACATTTGTTGTTTTTAAGTAAATAAAAAATTATATTAATGAATAAATTAGTGTCAAATTAACATAACCTTACTAGGATTAAAGAAAAAATTTTAATTTTAAGATAAATTAAATTCAGTCTTATAACATGCATTAATTTTACAAAAAACTACAAATTTAGCATAGTTGTATGTTGTCCTAAGTAAATTAAAATATTTTACAGCACAGCAAACACCATAAATTAAATAAAACACTTTTACAGGTGCTGGTCGTTTAATTAGAATATCTTCAAGAATTTTTGTTATTTTATTTATTTCATTCAAGCTGTGAAACTTGTATAACGTATACATTCATTCCACACAGACTGATATATTTCAAGTGTTTATTTCTTTTGATTTTGATGACAACTAAAAACGAGAAATGAAAAGTGTGTAAAAAGGTTAAGTATTGAAGACACCTGGTGCCACACTCTAATCAGCTAATTAACGCAAAACAGAGCTCACAGAGCTCTTGGTCCAAACACATTAATAGAGAGGCGAAGTGAAGGAAAAGATGTGGTAAAACAAGAGTGTACAAGCAATAGGGATAACTGCACCCTGGAGAGAATTGTGAAACAAAGCTCATTCAAACATGTGGGGGAAATTCACAAAGAGTAGACTGCAGCTGGAGTCAATGCTTCAAGAACCACTACTCATAGATGTATGCAAGACATGGCTTTCAGCTGTCACATTGCTTGTGTCAAGCCACTCTTGAATAACAGACAGCATCAGAAGCATCTTGCCTGGTCTAAAGACTGGACTGATGCTGAGTGCTCCATACTTATGCTCTCTGATGAAAGTACATTTGGCATTTTCTTTAGAAATCAGGGTCCTAGAGTCAGGAGGAAGAGCGGAGGGGCACACAATCCACAGGTGTTGCTTGAAGTCCAGTGTAAAGTTTCCACAGTCAGCGATGGTTTGGGGTGCCATGTCATCTGCTGGTGTTGCTCCACTGTTTTCTCTGAGGTCCAATGTCAACGCAGCTCTATACCAGGACGTTTGAGAGCACTTCATGCCTTCTGCTGCTGACCAACTTTATGGAGATGCAGATTTCAATTTCCAACAGGTACCTGTCCATGGCACCTGCACACAGTGCCAAAGCTACTAGTACCTTCTTAAAATAAAAATCGCCTACCTTAACCCCATAGGAAATCTATGGGCTATTGTGAAGAGGAATATGCGGTATGCCAGACCCAACAATGCAGAAAAGCTGAAGGTCACCATCAGAGCAACCTGAGCTCTCAGAAAACTTGAGCAGTGTTGAACACAGACTGATCCACTCCATGCCACTCTGCAGTCATTCATGCTAAAGCAGCCCACACTAAGCATTGACCGCTGTGCACGCTCACACTTTTCATCTTCATACTTTTCAGTTGGCAAAGATTTCTAAAAATCCTTTCTTTGTATTGGTCTGAAGTGATATTCTAATTTTCTGAGATGCTGCATTTGGGGTTTCCTTTAGTTGTCATCAAAATCAAAATAAATAAAAACTTAAAATATATCAGTCTGTGTGGAATGAATGTATACATTATACAAGTTTCACAGCTTGAATGAAATTAATGAAATAAATCAACTAGGGATGCTCAAAATAATTGATTAACCGTTAACCGAAAGGCTGCGTTTGTGACCGATTAATGCTATCAGTTAAACAATTAAAAATATTATTTTATATATTTTTAGTTTGGCTGCATAAGGGGCCGATTGAATGCGCCTTTGCGTCAAGAGGGGCATCTTTTGCACGCGGCTCATCCCAGAGCAGCAGTTTGTGTTGTCAAGACAACTACAGAGAACTTTTAAAGAGCTTGGTTTCCCCTACATTCATTCTTCAATGGCGGGGACCAAAATGCATTCCTCCACGGCTACATTACCTTTTCAAAACATTCAGTCATTGTTGTTGTTTTTAATAGCGGATTATAATCGCACCAAAACGTATTAAAAGGTAAGTAAATTATAACAGCGTAAACTTTTCTGTAACCGTATAGTGCTGTGTGCTATCTGTTTAATCCTTTGGGGTTACGTGCTGACTGACTGACAGGTGTGCGATGCGTGAGGCCAGCAAACACGCAGAAGCTTTCAGTTAAGATAAACACAGTTTCTATAGTTATACTTTATTTATAGATAAAGTATGACTTTGTATATAATCAATCTATCTTGCTGGAGTTTAAAGCTGTTTCACTTTACTTCAGGACGCATTAACACCGCTCTGAAGGTCTAATCGCTGTTTTAAGTTATCCAGAGCTGTATGAATGTAAAAATCTTGAATATCATAATATTATTAAATATTACAATTGTAACAACTCAGACAGCAACACTTATGCACAATCGATACCCAGCTGATTCAGTCGTTTCATAACATCACCGTGCTTCTTTTCTTCCTTTTTCCTTGTCAACATAAAGGCAGTGAGATGCGCCTTGTTTTTGGCCCCTTGTTCAACTGCAAGACATGCTTAACTTGCGGGACGACAACGTGTAACCCGTCCCTACTAACACAATTGCCAAAGAAGCAAAATGGAAGAAGAATATTGCTGTTTGATCGAGACGTGTTGATGCTTAACCAGCGCTGATGTTGACTGCGTAATAAATGCAACAAATAGGCTTTACCTTTTATTTGAAAGCTTATAGAGTATGTATGCACATTAATGCAATATCATATTTAAAGAACAAAACTGTTTACAAAAAGTCTACATATGAGCGCGTTGTTGTTGTCTTTTTATCACGCAGCGCGCACTTGAACCGCGAGAGAGAGGAAACCATATAGCAAGACATATTCTTTAAAATAATGATTTCTATAAAAATGTAAAAGGTTTTGTGATTATAATAATAACAGCAAGGCATTAAATAAATGCATATTTTCCGTGGAGCAAGCAATTTGAGGAAGTCTGCGATTTTTATTTGACGAAAGAAAAAACATATGATTGGGAAAAAAACTGCCTATGCCGGTTATTAAAAAGAATCAGTCAGTATTTTTGTTTTGTAATATGAATTAATTATTTAAGTGGAAATAATTTAGGGCAGTCCTATTTATTTTATTCATTTTATTTAGTTTATTCTGTTCTTCTGTGCTAAACACTACAGGTGCGTGAAAATGCTCTATTGTTATGTTCTATTATTAATATGCTGGCATGTTAAAATAAATCAGTATTTTAAAATGCAATATTTAGTGTGTCAGACACAAAATAGACACGTCAATTTGTTTAATATAAAATTACTAGTAATCTAACCAGTTAACCGTTAATAACCGATTAATGAGTGGCGGATGTCGGTTAGCAAAATTAACCGAAATGAGCATGCCTAAAATCAACTTTTTGAAGATATTCCAATTAAATGACCAGCACCTGTATTTAGCTGAAGAAATACACCAGTTAGGCAGCACTAAGGAACTGCTCTCTTATTGAGTAGGATGCAGAAAGCTTGCACTCTGATTGTTAAATAAGTCTTTATTTTTTTTTTTTTTACAATGTCAGTAAAAATATGTATTTTTGTATATTTGTGTTTTTCTGTTGCAGACACCAAATCAAGGAAAGTTATGATAAAATTATGGAGCACACTGAAGTGGATGCAGTCATGGAACATTTTAAAAGGACACCTCACCACAAAAGCAGAGCGTGATCAATGCAAGATAGCAGAAGACAAAGTTTTTTTTCCCTCTCCGCTGTCGCGACCCGCTTGCATGGCTTGGGATCGGTAGAGCTACGCATCGATGAATTTGCTCTTCAGTGTTTGAACTCTCAGTAATGATTTAAACCACACTGAACTGAGCTAAACTGAACTGAACTTAAACACTAAAAACTGAACTACCCTGATCCAGTTACTATGACCATTTATGTGAAGCTGCTTTGACACCATTTACATTGTAAAAGCGCTATACAAATAAAGCTGAATTGAATTGAATTAAAAGAAGAATGTCATGTACACCAAGGATGACATTACAGTAGGGCACAATGCCTTTTCCCCCCCTTAGTCCTTCCCCTTCCCCCTACCCCTTGTTTTGCGCGTTCACGTCAAGGGGTAGGGCTGTCCCAATTCTCTTTAGCTTGAAGGCGTTGGGCTAAGAGGAAGGGGTGAATAGCCCTTTGAACAAAGATTTTTCAGGTCCACACTTGAAACCAAGGGGTAAAAAAAATTCCCACAATACACCTGCCATAGCTGCACCCAGAAGTAAGGAGAATTTTTTATTTATTTATTTATTTATTTATTTTTATGACAAACAAACATGTTTCAATATATTCATAACTACGTTCATGTTTTACTGTCATAGTTTTCTTTTTAACGCTATAATTTGCAATCTATAATCCATAATAATCACTCCTTTGCAGCAGTCCCACAACATTCTGACACTTGATGACACTGGAATACCCTGCCAGAAAAGTCTAGTGTCTGTGATGAGCTGTTTACAGTGTCTGCTATGATGTTAGTGTGGTTTTCGTGTGTTTACATAGATGAATATGGCCACTGTGTGTATATATACAGTACAGTTACAATCTTATTGCCACATTAGATCATTATGATAACATGATGTGCCTTCAGTGATTTCCTCAAGATAAATATCAAAAAATAACACAACTGAAATAACTACAGCAGTCGCGATCATCTGATCTCATATGAAGCATAAAATTACAATGACATATGCTGTCCCAATTCTTATGGGTACATCTGAAGCCCTTCCCTTTAACTTTTGGTTGTAGGGGCCAAGGGGAAGGGGTAGGGGTACAAAAATAGAATTGGGATTGGGCCTAAATCAGTTTTCATTTTTTGGTTGAACTTTAAGGGGCAGGACCCTTAAAAATGCTGTCATTAAGCTGTTTTTTTAAGCCTTGTTGAATAAATGCATTTGAGACAGTGATTTACCGTTACTGATTTATTTATCTACCTATCTATCTCTCCCTCAGTCTGTCTGTCTGTCTATCCATTAGCTAGTCCAGTTAAACACCAACTGTCCTCATAGTCCAGTGTTAATAATGTGTGTCAGTGTGTATGAGTAGAGTCCAGTTAAACACTAACTGTCCTCATAGTCCAGTGTTAATAATGTGTGTCGGTGTGTATGAGCAGAGTCCAGTTAAACACTAAATGTCCTCATAGTCCAGTGTTAGCAATGTGTGTCGGTGTGTATGAGCAGAGTCCAGTTAAACACTAACTGTCCTCATAGTCCAGTGTTAGCAATGTGTGTCGGTGTGTATGAGTAAAGTCCAGTTAAACTCTAACTGTCCTCATAGTCCAGTGTTAGTAATGTGTGTTGGTGTGTATGAGTAAAGTCCAGTTAAACTCTAACTGTCCTCATAGTCCAGTGTTAGTAATGTGTGTTGGTGTGTATGAGTAAAGTCCAGTTAAACTCTAACTGTCCTCATAGTCCAGTGTTAGTAATGTGTGTTGGTGTGTATGAGTAAAGTCCAGTTAAACTCTAACTGTCCTCATAGTCCAGTGTTAGTAATGTGTGTTGGTGTGTATGAGTAAAGTCCAGTTAAACTCTAACTGTCCTCATAGTCCAGTGTTAGTAATGTGTGTTGGTGTGTATGAGTAAAGTCCAGTTAAACTCTAACTGTCCTCATAGTCCAGTGTTAGTAATGTGTGTCTGTGTGTATGAATAAAGTCCAGTTAAACACGGAATGTCCTCATAATGCAGGATTGTTGCTGTGTGTTTGTAACACTCATGGCTGTCCTGATAATGCACGATTGAGTCAGAAACGCCCACTTTTGCCCTGTCCCCACAACGTTGTAGAATGTCAGGTCTTAATATTTCCAGACTCTTTCACAATAATGAAATTCTGAATAGACAGAGTTATTCCCCATGCAATATGGAGAAGATTCATATATTTTACTAAACTGTAAGACAAAAGGAAAGGTGGGTCCCCATATCCCATGATGGTACTTTTTTAGGAAAAAAGTCCCAATAAACCACCCGTACCAGTATGTGTGTGTGTGTGTTTGTGTAATATTAATATATAGTAATATGTATAGAAAATATTAATTAATCAGTTTTCCCTTGTCTTGGCCTTCAATAAAACCAAAATTTAGGTAGGCTTTGTCATACTGTCTAATCTTTTTCTTCGCCTCTGAAGAATCACTGCATTTACGTTTGTCTGCCATTTTTGTTTTAATTTTGCCTTTACGACACGTTGAAAAGCAGATTGCGCGAGTGAGCAAAATTTAAATAATTATTTAAAGTTATTTATTTTAATTATTTTCACTATTATGTTGGAATTTTAAGCATGCGTTTAGATTTTTATTTATTTTTTTGGTACTTAAAAATACATATATAATAGTAGGGCAGCTCGATTTTGGGAAAAATCATAATCACGATTATTTTGGTCATAATTGTAATCACGATTATTCAAAACCATTGCCAGTTAAAGTCAAAATTATTAGCGCTCCTGAGATTTTTTTTTTTTCTATAAATATTTCCCAAATTATGTTTAACAGAGCAAGGAATTTTAACAGTATTTCCTATAATATTTTTTCTTCTATTTGTTTTATTTTAGCTAGAATAAAGAAAGGTTTAAATATTTTGAAACCAATTTAAGGTCAATATTATTAGCCCCCTTAAGCAATATTTATTTTTGATTGTCTGCAGAATAAACTACCGTTATAATGACTTGCCTTATTACTCTAATTAAGCCTTTGAACTGCACTTTAATCTGAATGCTTGTATTTTGAAAAATATCTAGTAAAATATTATGTGTGCTGTCATTATAGCAAAGACAAAAAGAAATCAGTAATTAGAAATGAGATATCAAAACTATTATGTTCAGAAATAAGTTAATAAAATATTCTTTCCATGAAACAGAAATTGGGCAGGAAAAGGTTTGCTAATATTCAAGAGGACCAATAATTCTGACTTCAACTGTATACATACAGTTATTTTCCACCCTGCAAAGGAAAGAGAAATAAATACAATAGAATAAAAATATGAAACAAACTGTGCTTTAAGCATCTTCACTGTAAGAAAAACACTTTAGCTACAGCAGTGCTTTAGTCAAGAGCAGCGAGGGTTTTCTCGTTATGTTTGTTTAATAATGATAAAAACAGGCGGCAGAAGGATTACCGCGCGCTGTCTCTTCATAGGTTTCTCTTTCACGTCTTTTGATCCTCAACTCGTTTGTTTATAACACAAATGAGGGTTAATGTACATAATCACGAAACACCGCGTTTTGACACCTATTTGACCATTAAAGCGCTCACGTTAAGATGACTAGATGTCTGCGCTCCTCTGCTCGTTTCAGTGTGTGAATGAGAGTGAATGCTGACCGGCCGCATGCTTCTGACTGCGTGATCGTGCTGCACACACACATAAGCTTTTTCGCGCTTTTAAGAGCCATTTAAGAGCGTGTACAACTGGAACGTGGCAAAATATGATGCAATAATCATTTATCTCGATTAATGCTTTTTTATAATCGTTTGAAACCGAAATCTAAATCGGATATTCAATTAATTGCAAAGCCCTTTATAATAGTGGAGCATTTTTATGCCTTTTTCTACCTCAATACTTATCCTCTCCCGCGCCCCCCCTGTAAACTCTGGCGCCCCCCTTAGGGGGGCGCGGACCCCAGGTTGGGAACCACTGCTTTAAGTTTTTGAAATCTTTTGTATGAACAGCCCCACCAACGTTAGTCAGAAATCGCGGCATAAATATTGAAAAGACGATAATGCCGTTAACAACGTACTTTTAACCAACTCCTATTTGACAAATACAGACCGAAGCGAGGGCCAATGTCACGGTTTAACTGGTGACCGTGTTAACTGGTGTCCTTTTCCAGATGTAAGCTATTTAACGTTACGTTTGCAGATTGGCAGATTCGTCACTTTTTCACAGCATTAAAACATAGCTTGTGCAACTTAAAGTAGCTTGTGTTCGCAGCACTGTAAACATTATCATCAAGCAGGTAATGCTATCATTCATTTATTCGTTCATATTTTCCCCTAAGATAGTTGGTGGGACGACGTGGTGGCAAAGTGAGTAACGTTAGCTCTGTCGTCTCACAGCAAGAAGCTCCCTGGTTTGGCTGGGTCAGTTGGCATTTCTGTGTGGAGTTTTAATGTTTTTCCGGTTTCCTCCGGTTGCTCCGATTTCCCCCACATGTCCAAAAACGTGGTATATTGAAGGTGAATTGGGTAAATTAAATTGTCCGTAGTGGATGAGGATGTGTAAGGGTGTTTAGTGATGAGTTGCGGCTGTAAGGGCATCCGCTGGAAATGGATAAATTGGCGATATCAGATTAATAAATTGATTAAACTGAAAAAAAGGATGAATAAATGAATATTTATTGGCATGTAGAAATGTAAGTTGTTTTATTAATTATACTCCACTCTTAGCTGTGCATAGTATATACAATAAATTACGAAAGATTTTTCTCATGAGAGGGCAGTATATTCAATATTCCCCTATATTTTAATTATTATTTATTAACATTATTTTTAAATAGGAGATCATCCGTAATCTTGCCTAGGGTGGAAAAAAGTCTGAAAAATTACCCTAGGGCCAGCGTGTTTTTTTTTTTTTTTTTGTCTAACTTTATTAAAACACTAACTTATAGACCATCCATCCCTAACAGTCTTGTGACTTATGTATTCAAGCCAGCCAAGCATTAAATTAGTGTGCATACATTGCTATTGGTTCCCACTTAAAAGATAGAATAGTAATTTACATCAAATACTGTGTTTTTGAATAATATACTAAAATGTATTATACTGTATATATTATAGATTTAATATATTTTACTGTAGTTTTACACTGTATATATTGTAGTTTTTATAATGTGTGTATATGTGCACACACATATCATTTAAAAGAATACTTGCTGTATGTTTACAACTTCTCTATTCTCATTCACAGGAAGACAGGATTTGGATGGAGTCTGAAATCTGAAATGTTGATGACTTTTTTCCTTTTTTGTGAGTAAGGTGATTAATAATGTCTGCAAAACAAAAATACAACACTCTCTGGAAAAGAGTGAAAAGAGATCAGCAGAAATTGGATTTGTTGCATTTAGATGACATGGAGATACACACCAGCTCAACTAGTCTGGAAAGCTTTAGTGAGGAACTTCAAGCACAGCCCACTAAAGAATTCCAGCATGAATCTGAGTGTGATGTTAATATGCAGGGGGCTCATGCAAGTTTAAATTCGAATTCTGATTCGAATTCTGATAATGCAGACTCAAATGACAGCCATTCTTTAGGAGTTAAACTTGCAGAGTGGGCCAATGAATTTCAGGTCAAGCATAATGCAGTGGATGGCCTTCTTAAAATTCTTGGTGAGCATCACCCAGAACTTCCAAGAACTGCTAGGACTTTACTTGTGTGACGACCCCAGGACTTCAGTATGGATGTGGCAGATCCTGATTGGGTGCCTGGTTGTCACCAATTGGCTCAAACCATATAAAAGGGTTTTGAGTGCTAGCTTCTGGAGGACGGTGTGGCTACGGGCCGTCCTCGTGTTCAGATCATCTCTTCATTTCTGCAACCTTATGGTTTTGTTTAGCATTATTTATTTGTGTAGTTAAAGTAGTTATTTTCTTTATTTTCCCCTAGACATTTGTTTGTTTGTTGATTTGTTGTCCTATTTAGTTTTATGTATAATAAATAAGTTGCATATACATTCTTTTGTTGTTCGAACTCTTTTATGTTGCGATTCAAACGAGGGGGTCGTAACACTTGGAACATGTGAAAATGTCAACTTCGACATGAAATCTGGGATGCAATATTTCTACTTTGGATGCAAAGAACAGCTGTGTAAACATCTACATTTTTACCCCACTGATGTTGTCTCTCAGTTAGACTGTCTGGACATTTCTTTGAATATTGATGGCTTGCCTCTATTCAAAAGTAGCAGTCAGTCACTGTGGCCAG